AAGAATTCCTTGCACTGACATACTAAAATAAGATGGAATTGTCTTTCCTTTTCCATCACTGTGCCAAGGGGATACAACATACTTACCCAGTGTAGTAATACAAAAGGAAATACCACCTTCAGTTTTGTGATCAGGAATCTGCTTAGACTTTGTGAGGTAACATCTGTTATTCTAATTGCTTGATTTTAATGTTATAATGCCTGGAAAGAGTTCCTTAATTTTTATTGTAGCATTAGTTGCTCTTCTATGTAACACAGCAAATTTGCTTGAAGACCGTGTATCAGAATGGAAATGCATGTGTGGGAGGAGGGGGGTTGTTCCCACAAAATGAAAGGGTTCATAATTTGCTAAAGCGTAATACATCGTATTAGTCCTTTGCAAATAGTACAGATCTCTCCTGATCAGTGAAGTCAGCTGAGGAAACACTCTCCAAATAAATGTTCCAGTTTCTTCAGGGCCTTAAAGCAGATGGTGCAATTCTTTAATTAAAATTTGCAGGAGTCATAGATTTGAATGTAGTCATGATCAAATATGCCTCAACAAAATGTGAGAATGGATTTCTCCCGCTCTCTCTCCCCCTCTGTCTGTCTCTGCTTGCTTCTTTTCCTCTGCACAATAGTAAATATAACCTCAAAAAGCCCAGGACTGTAAAGTTATATTACTTCTGTGACTTTTAAATCACAGGTGTACAGTGAGCTTAGATTTTATTTGGTGGAACTGAAGGAGGGTCATTTGTATGATTTTAATCACTTTTCTTTCTTTTACTCTTTTTTAAATTAAAGAAATATCCTTTTTTTAAAAAAAATTAAATCTATGACTCTCTCAAGCATTCTCCTTTGTTAAAACATTCAGGGTCATCTTACTATCTCCAAGACTGCTACCACTTCTCTATTACTATTGTTTACTCAAGGACAGCCCAAAACACTTTCCACTGCCTGCAGTTACCATACAGGAGGTGAAAATATTAATGCTACTGTACAAAGGATGGGTTGGATTTCATCTGCAACAATGTGCACAATTATGACCAGCTCTATTCAAATTAGAATGGAAAGGGTGCATAGAAAAGCTGATTCATGTGAGAAGAGACTGAAAATGTTGTCTTGATAAGCCTGTGAAAACAAAGACTGAAAGAGGATATGCTCTCTGTTTACAAACACCATACAGAGAGTGAATAAATAAATCATTGTCAGGGCTAGAGGACAAGGTTTGCACAAGAACAAATTAGTTCTAATTGCCCATGAATAAATTGAGGGCGAAACTTAATAGAAGGTTTCTAATTACAGAAGACATCCGAGTCTGGAAAAGCTCCTTCTTTGAGGAAAGAATGAGAAAAAAATCCAAAACACTTTTAACAAACAGTTTATGGGAAAAGATCCAACAGGTTTGTCCATTGTAGCACAAGAGAGGACTGGGAGACCCACCAGGTTGTATTCAAAGGCTACTTTCAGGTGAACATGTTTTTCCTAGAAGAGGGCTGGTCTTGGCTGATGCATTTGGCTTGTTGTGTTTCAGCCCAATGCACTCTTCCATGGAGAAAAGCGTAGAGCATGGCTATGTTTTAAGCTTGAGCAGCTAGATCAGGTCCTAAAATCACAGCTCAGTTCCAGGAGCTCACATAATTCTACATTTTAATATAGAGAATTGATTAACGGTAGCATTAGGGGTTCATTTGAACCCTTACATTTTCCAGTGGTGATGGCAGGTCAGGTGTGAAATGCCACCCTCTTTGGTACAGGTCAGTGACCAACCTGCCAGTTTTTTCTTCAGGCACTTGAGACCTAATGGACAGACTAACTTAGCCTTGCTTCCTCCAAACTCCTAGATTTTTTCTCTGTGAAAGCTAAAAATTTATTTCTCCTTTTCTTATCACTTTTCTCTTTTTCATTGTTGTCCCCAGAATGTAAGAAACCTAAGGGAGATATAATGGAGCAAATGAGCAAAAGTGCTCTGTGGTGAATAGTCTCTGCCTAGGTCTCTTATCTTAAAATAACGAAATAAAGCTGAGCGGCAATGTGCATTAGGTGTCCAGTATAGAGTCTTGCTTCCCACTGGAGTCTCTGCCTGATATGCCAAGGTGATCCTCTTCATTGCCCTTTTCCTGATTCATCTATAAAGAGCTATTAATTTAAAATAGCATTTCTTTCCTTATTTATTTGCCTACTCAGATGAAATGTACATCTAATTTTTATCCTTCTTCCATTTGAAATAGGACAGCCTCCCCTTTATTCCAAGTTCAGACCAACAGAATAAAGGTTTGGAACTGTATGTTGAACTTCTTATTTTTCAAAAAAAAAAAAAACAACCCCAAAAAACCACAACAGAATCTAGCCTAAATTTGTGCAGGTGGGAACTCAGTTCAAGTTGGCCAACTTTGTAAATTTTTTTGACGTTTGGTGCTTGTATAACAGATCATCTGCCATCCTTACATCGTTGTACTGTATCCTCTTTTGAAGTGCAAATAAAAATTGTTTCCTCTTATACAATAGTTGCTTTATATAGATTTCTTAAGTCAGATCCAAAATTCAAGAATGAGAGATGATATTGGAGAGTCATTAGATAAAAGGCTCGTCACTCAGTCAATGCCAAGTATTAAAAAAACAACAAAGAAGTATGTAGCAAATGACTAAAGTTGAATTTGGGTTTGCATGGCGTTGCTTTGTTGTTAACCTAAAACCTGAATTTATTATATAATCACTGGAATTCACAGCATTTCAAATAATAGCTGTAATTAATTTATCGATTTAGATACTTCCTTGGCAACCACACAAAAATCTCTTTGGTGTTTGGATTCTCTTATTAGTTCCCAGGTGATGTATAAAAATATGAGGTAGTAACCTAAAGGTTAAAATGAGAACACTCTAATTAAAATACACTAAAAAGTGGTGAATACAGAAAAAATAAATACACTTTTGAGACAGAAAAAAATGAATGTTGAACAGCTGAAAGTCAAAATCTCTTTTAAAATATAATTTAACAATATAACCTGGCCATGCAGGTACTGATATTTACATTATTCGAATGTGTCTAATAGTCTTGCTGTTATAATTTGGGCATGGTGTATAATGAAACCAGGGAAAATTTTTAAATCCTCTGAGAAAGGATATAGTGTAAAATCAAGGTAAGAAGTTGCCTGAGCTCTCCTTTCTAGTTTTATTGGAAGTATTACTTGCATTTTGCTAAAACAGCTTTTCTTTATATATTTATTTTTTTTATTTTTTTTTATCTTGCAGCTAGTGAAATGATACAGACTAAATTAAAAGACAGCATCTTTTCATTTATTTATTCATATAAAGAATAAAATATTTTTACTGTAGTCAAGAGACTAGAAGTTAAAATTTACATCTCATGTATTTTTATTCAAAAATTTAAAGGAAATAAATAACAGAATGTCCAAAGAAATTGTTTCAAAGTAATTAATTTAAGGAATGTTAACTGATGCTCAAAAAAACCCTAAAATCATTGGGATAGTTGTCTTAACATTTAAAGATCTGCTTTTTCAAAAAGCTTGGCTTCCTTTTGATGAGAATGATTCTGTAACTTGAGTTCAAATCTGTCTCCTGGTGTCTCCTAAGTTCTTGATTATGGATATGGATCAGGAAGTTAGAGGCACAGAAAGATGAGATGGCATTTAGTTGCAGATATAACAGTGTGGATGTGCTGTGATGTTCAAAAAATGGAAAGCTAGAAATCCACGAATGAGAATCAGAAATATTCAATAAACTGCAGCTGTATGCAAGGTGTGTTAAATGCTGCCTGCTAATCGGAGCTCCGTAAGCACCTCCCTTCCTTGGGGGTTATTCACAAATTTAAATGTTTAGAAAGCTTGGGACATCGGCCTCTGTAATTAAGATAGATGTGGACAAACATTTCGGCTTCATGAAAAACAGATTCTAGTGAATTGATGGAGCAATTTTGTAGTTTTGTTCTCCTGCTTTACAGAAAAATAGAGACACAGGATTGCCTTGAAAGCTACCAGCTGCTTGACCCTATTTGAGTCATCAGAAAAAGCTCATGTTTAACTAGAGCTCAAGTTCTTATGTGAAGGTTGGAGTCAGTTGCTGATGTTTGTGAGCACAGGCTCCTCTCGCTCCGTGTTCCCCGAGGGCCTCAGCATTCAATGGTGTAAAACACCATGTTCCCAAACTGCAGGAATTTATACTAGGTAAAGAACTGTCTTTCTGATTTCCCTAACCTGCCCTAAACTCTATATTTTAAGCCTCGTATTTCACATACTCCTGTGTTTAGTTAGGTTTGGTTTTCTTTTTTTTTTTTCTTTGAAGTGTGTATTTGTAGAGCTGAGTGTTCAGCTGAAAGCCTTAATAGGTACCCTACGGAGTAAAAATTTGGTTTTAAATTAGGTCTTGCTATAAACAAGTACGTACACACCTGGAATGCTCTAATGCATCTTCTTTGCCCTTTTGGTAAATGACGGTTGCTCAGTTGCACATTGTTTTATAGGTTCTTGCTGTTCTGTTTCCAGGAAGTGAACACTTAAGGCCTGAATAATTGTCTGTACCTTCACAGCTCCTAAGTAATTCTACACTTAGAAACACACCATGCTATGATTTCCTACTGATTTACGCATTATCTGCCAAGGATGCTGTGAAACGCTTTTAAGTAAAAGATCAAAGGTAAAAGGAGAGGGAGAGAAAATGCAAAATGAAACATTGGGTTGACGGTTGGACTTGATGATCCTTGAGGTCTTTTCCAACCTTAGTGATTCTGTGATTCTCTAACTAGGCCTAGTTAGATCTACAAAGATTCAGCAAGGTTTCGGCACAGTACATTTTAAACTTTTGCAACTATTGTAAGGGTGGTATGCCAGTTGTTTTAATGAGCATGCATACATGCTTTTTTGAGGCTATGGCAGAGCTCAACAATAGCCATGTAGCAATCATGCAACTGTTGATCCTCTCAGTTTATTTTTCGTTTCTAACCTGGTGGTAACATTTCTGTATTTTAACTTGTATGCATATGCTCTCTCTTGCCTTATCTTCCAGGAAATAAATGATATGGATGTGCAGGAGCTGGTGAGAAGGTCAATTGGAAGGTTAACAATTATTCGACAGACGTTTCCAGTCCCCCAAAACATAAGTCAGCGCTGTTTCCGAGGCAACCACAGAATATCTTCATCACTGTGTGATCCGAAGGACCCTTTCTCCCAAAGCATGGAGGTAGTTCATATACCAGTTTACTCTCACCTGGAATCTGTGTTTCTAGATATGTTCAAGGTTTTTCCTCAGGGGCTTAGTATAATTTAATGTTTGTTTTTCATGTAGTTTAGTGGCTCATGGCATAACAAGAAAATCCTTGGATAGGGGGTGAGTGGACAAGAACTACCTGCCCACTCCACAGCAAATGACAAAATAATCCAAAAAAGCCACCTGATCTCCAGGCACTGGGGTAGTTGTCCTGCTGCCCTGCTAAATTTTATTTTTTGTCATCTCACGGAGAATTTCCTCCCCGTAGCCGGTGTCTCCTGAGTTGCCCTGCTTCTCTAAGCCTCAGGTGTGTTGTCAATAGAAAACCCTTCTTGGGGAGCACCTGCGTCATCTTTTTTCAAGTGTATTGGTGTATGCACTTAAATCTGTGCCAGTGTTCCAAAGAGGCTTTATTTTCAGGGTTGTTAATTATAAATCACAAACTATAAGAGCCTTACTACCACATGAAATGAGCAATAGGATCATGGAAACTGTCCTCCTGACTTCACATAGTTTTTCAAGAGCAAGTCCTTTATCTCTTCCGTATATCTGGTTAGACTGGGTCATGACAAAGTGACCAAGTGAAATGAGAAGTGTGAAATTGGGTTAAGATGTCAATTTGACTTTGGATTTTTTTTGCATGATTATTTATGAAGTTGTAGAAAGATGACAGCATTGGCAGTGGTGCAAGAGGAGCATATCTGACTTAGCAGCAAAGAGCAGTCATCTTGTGATGCTGAAAAAAGGGGTGAGAGAAATAGGGAGGTGTTGAAGAGTGTCCTTGCTTACAATGAAAAGATGTAAGGGGTAAAAGAGCAGAAGTGTGGCTGCTCTTGCCCTGTTTCAGGTTAGCTGTAAGAGCCTTTGCCTCACTAATTGTTCACAAAGCAGCCAGTAAGCAACTACTGCTAACATGAAGAACTTTGTAGCACACTGCACAGTGATCCTATCAGAGGTCTTAAAATAAACTTGGCTGTGTAAGGTCATAGATACATAGGATATCTCTAGAGGCTATTTAGGAACTGTGAAAATTCTTTAGGTTGCTCCGTTCAGTTATGGCAGCATGGTCCTAGGGAGAGCTTTGGTAGTCTGTGGATAATGTGTGAAAACTGAGGGTGTGATTATGTGCAGCCACTAGAGATTGCAAAGAGCAGTTTTCTTAAACAAAATTACTAACTACAGCAAGGCAGAAAACAAGAATCGTGTTATCAATGGCAGGCTTTGTGTTTTGATTTATTTTTCCCTTCAACTTCACTTTCATTTCATTTTCATGTCAGCAGTGAACTGATTCTAGGAAAGAAAAGTTCTAGAAATCAGAGTTTATTCTCTACAAATTGGCAAATTCCATTTAATGTGTTAGATTCGACCTTCTACCTTAACCTGTGCTTCTTGATCAACCTCTAGCTTGGAGAGCTGTAATATTTCTATTGAAAGCTTTCATAATGGTTTGGTTCAAAGGAGTGCTGGAAGCTTGACTGGTTCAACTGTTCTGCAAGGTTGAGTTGCTTTTTTCATTTTTTTCCCTGAGATGGCTGCACTTCATTAGTAGCTGAGTGAGACAACATGAAAAAATGAAAGGAAGACAAACTCTGACACAGCTTCCTCTGTGTCTTCGTGCGATGTGCAGACCTTTTAGTAGCTGTGGGGTTTGTTTGTTGTTTCTTTGTTCTCCCCAACAATATTAAAAATTAACTTCTATGCCCATGGGGAGTTTAACAGTTTATAAATTGAAATTTCTAATGCTTTTTTTTAATGCCATCCAAGTGTGACTAATCAGAAATATTCTCTGGAAATTATAAGAGTGGATTTCATTATTTATTTTTTCCAAATTACTCCCTCTGAAGTCTGTGTGAATAATTTTGTCTGTTATGTCTGTAAATAAGTCTGGTTTTTTCAGCATCTTTATTAGAACACTGAAAACCATTTTGGTGAAGATCTCTCATTGTGTCTCTGGGATTGTTCTAGTTGAAACAAGAACTTCTATAAATTTGTATCATTTTGGATGCAGGAAGTTAAAAACTGGATTCATAGAAATAGTTAGTGCCATAACCCTTTTTGTCTAAAAACTATGTGCAATGAAACATAAAGTAAACACCGTTAATCCAGATTAATCGGTCATACTTAATCTGATTGCTAAATATCTTATGCACTCTGGAACAAAAAAATCTGAAACATAAAGTAAACACCGTTAATCCAGATTAATCGGTCATACTTAATCTGATTGCTAAATATCTTTCTCATGCACTCTGGAACAAAAAAAATCACATCTGTATTTTGAATTGCATCAACAGGAGGTTATGCAGTTAGATACCGCTTGGTAATGTATGTGTCCAGGCTTGGAACAAATAAAGTGTCGGTAATAGATACCAGGCAATGTGTTAAATGTCCCAGTAAATTTACTTGGGAAATTAATACAAGTGTAAAGTGACTTGAAATTCCAGACCCTCTCTGGGTGTTGGGACAGTTACTAGTGAAGCATACTTCTGCTAGGGACAGGGTAGGGTGATTTTTGAGAAGCAGAAATTAATCATTGTGTCTTTATCATTGTGTTGCCAGTGACTGATTGCTGTAAATGTTAAGCTGAACTATTAGTAAAGGAATAGCAATGCTTAATAATTGCTGAACTCGGCACTCCTGACCTTTGTTAATACTTGATGAAAGCCCAGCTATATTACTCCTAGATTAGTGAGTGCATCCTTCCTCATGAAGTGTGACAACAGTCTTCTCTTCCCATGATAATAGGTTATGGAAGCTACCTTGAAAGCAATGTCATTTTGCTGGGAAACGATGACTTGGCATCTGTAGCCCTTCATGTATCAGTTTAGTCTCATTAGTGATCTTATTGTCTCTGCTCTCTAGAGGTTTGGGTTTTTTCCTTTGATGAAAGGGGGTTTTTTTTTTGTTTGGTTTGGTTTTTTTACTTTTGGCAAAGGCTTATGTAAAATAAACTTGCCTCACAGCATAGTAGTAATTCCTTCTCTCCCCCTCAAACAAATGTCCCTGTGGTGCTGGCTTCTTTGGGGAAATTCAGTTTTAGCTGAAATGCTTTGAATTCTTTCTAGGTATACAATACACAGAGAAATCACATCCAAATTATTTTAAAAGTGCTTGATTAATGTGCACCCAGATCCTCAATCCATGCTTTTAATCCTGTCACGCACAGTGATGCCTGGCCTCTGCATCTGCGGAAAGTAAATTAGTTCCTGGGTGAATACTGAAATATTCACAGCCACTGGAGTCATGGGGGAAGCTCAAGTAAGAATAAAAAAGTGTCTTCCAGAAAGAGGGAGTGAAGGATCGTTGTCATTTAAAGAGAAAGGGAAATAGGGATCAGAAGCTCTGTGCATTTGCAGTGCTGACAATGCAGAGTTGTAAAGGCAATCCCTCGAGTTTAGTAGGGGGGAAGGCAGCAGACCATTAGATCTCCTTCAGTAAAATGTGCAAGGCAAAATGCCCCGGGAGATTTTGTCAAGGTAAAGAGGATGACCTCTTCTCTGGATGCTAGGCAGTGAAGGACTCTGTCACAAAACCTTCCTACGAGAACTGTACAGAGTAGATTACAGATGACACAGACAAAGCCAGCATAAAGATGGAATTTACATGAGAAAATAAAAACATTAAAAATAGGTTATATGGAAAGGAGCAATCAGGCAGGAGGAGAGGCTATTTTTCCCCCCCCTTTTTTCTTTAAGGCAATTTGTGTATTTTGCCAATCAGTGTTTCAGTTATTCCGCATTATTGTGCTTCCTTGGCATACACCCCTCCCGATACCTAAAGGACTTTCCCAGTCTTTGGATACTTTTAAGAGGCAGAATAGGGGCATTCTCCACAAGGTTGACATACTTTCCTGTTGTAAGCTTTCTTCTTCTTTTAAGGTTTTGAGCGGACCATGTGTATGGAGAAACCCTTACACAGAGCAGTCAATGTGTTCCACAAATCTGGGAAATGTCTTTTGGCTTGTCTGTGACTGATAAGAGGAGAACAAACCAGCAACCTTGCCTCTGTTAGCAAATTGCCACTGGGTAATTAGTTTTCAAGTGCTAGGAATGCTCTACAGCCCCCTTCATACAGTAGCTGAGGAAACTGAGTTTCCCTCAATAACTTCAGGCCCTGTGGCTTTAGATGACCAATAGGTTATCTAAAAATAATATCCACAAAGGTACTTCTCATTTCAGAACATCATTGCTCTTCCTGAGCACCTCTGTTCAGGAGAGCTGCGGTTTCTCTTTATGATCCTGTTAGTAATTTCGGTGTTCCTGCCACTTGAGGACAGAAATGAATTAACTAAAGCTAAGCTGTAAATGATTTGTTTGTTCATGAATTCTAAGCTTCTGTTCTTTTACGTAGAATTGTATGTTTCACACTTGACTTTGTACTCTGAGCATTTAAAAGTACATATACAGAAATACTACACGGGTAAGCAGCACTGGCACACAAGAAATTTATTTTCTTGAGTTAAACTTTTCTCTTTTTCATGCCAAACTGGAATTTCCTCACAACATGTGTGTGTATCTATGCTCACAGTGGAACATACACACATTTACTCAGTAAGGGTTTAGTCCTGCAATGAATTAACAGCCATTGCCAAACACTCTGACAGGAAACACTATGAATTGCAGAATCAACATGCAACCACACACTGAGAAAGATTTCATGGGGTCATATTTCATTCCAGAAATTGCCTCTATCAGAACTGACTGCAAAACCCAGGAACAACAGTCACAATGAAATGATTTATTTTAAATTTTGAGAGTTTCTGTTTTTCAAAAAAAAAAACAAAACAAAAAAAAAACAATCTTGAAGAGAATTTGATGGTGTCCAAATATGTGGAGACTGAAAAATTGAAAGTTGCAGGCAACTGGTTAAAAATAAAAGACAGTCTGTTTACGTTCACTAGTAGTCCTTTAAATCCTGCAAGTGGAGCTGTGCCAGGGACTGGGCTGCCTGTACTTCACGTGTGTGTAGTTTGTTGCTGCAAATCACTTGTACCATGACAGCCCCTAACTGCAGTGTCTCCCAGAGCCAAAGATGTGACTTGGACTCTTACAGTTTCTTCTTCATAGCAAATAAGTCATTCAATTACCGGAGGATTATGGGTGAGGTAAAACAAAATATAATTTCTGTCTGCTGGTAGGAGACCACAAATAATAGTGCTAATACGCCCCTTTTAATGCCTTTTGCAGATTTCAAACCTGTATATATACGACACTGTCCTCCTGTTGGCGAATGCCTTTCACAAGAAGCTGGAGGACAGGAAGTGGCACAGCATGGCCAGCCTCACCTGCATCAGGAAGAACTCAAAACCCTGGCAAGGAGGACGATCCATGTTGGAAACCATCAAGAAGGTACTTTTTTTCCTGTATATCCTCATCTTTGATTTCTAAAATAATTTCATTAGGCAGTATTTCCTTCTGAGTTGCGTACTATTCTTGCTAGTACAAGCAGTAACTTTTCAAAGCGATAGTTTAGTATATTCACAGTTTTGGAATGAAAACAGTCTTTAATTGGTTTTGGGTTTTTTCGTGTCATAATGAGCATGTTTGAAATGAAGTCAGTGAGTTTGTTTACCAAAACGACTGGACTAGTAGAATTTTCAAGTACAAATAATCTCCTACTGAAAAAGTGTCACAGGTTAGGAGGTAAAGTGGATACTTTTCCTATTTTATTCGTAAAAGAAAAAAAAGTATTGCAGAATTATGGGTAACATTCTGTGGAATTTGCTGTTGCACTGCTCTTGATGTTAATATAGTGAAATAACAGAAATAGAGAGTGAGGGAAACCTTAACTCATCTAGTCTATATCCTGCCATGGCAGAACAGTTGTCTATAATGGTCTATACAGTGCTTTATCCAATGTTAACCTCTCACTACTTCCCTGTGATTATTATTTCATACCTTAATTATGTTCATGTCAAAGATGCTTTTCCTGTTCTTCAGCCTTTAAAGGTATTTTTTTCTTATTCCGTTTCTTTGTGATGTTTACAGTCTCCACATACTTGGAGACAATTATCACACCCTTCTGGGTCAGTATTTAGTAAAAAATAGGCATAGGTTGCTAGTTATTTGGTTTAGTCTCCTAACGTTATTGATGTCTTTCATAAAACTGCCTGGCAGTGTTTATATTGTAAATACAAAAAAAAAAACCAACAACAACAACAAAAAAAAACCCCAAAAAACACAAACCCCAAGGACAGTAAAACAAAATAAATTCTTCTTTAAAAATTTTTTCTTTATTTATGGCTTTCATTGAAAGGACATAAAAAAGTAATTTAAAGTATAATGGTGTTTCAAGAAGTTTCCGTTCTGCATTAGTTCTGTAGCCACACCAGAAGTTATGATGATGCAGTCAAAATGTAAGGCTCCTTTGAACACTGCTTATTTTTTCCCCAGTCCCAAGTCAATCTGCATTAGCTCCAAAATAACAGTTCAAGGCTTTCTTCGGTGGCTGTCCCCAGTTTCCATTCTAATAGGTTGAAGTCATAAGACTGTAAGGATAATCCAGGACATATTTCTTATTTCAGGGGCAGGATATGGCTTTAAGGGACTTTAAACTGTATTGCTCTTAACCTACCCAGAGCAGTTTCAGATTGACATTTGGCAGTCCCATGGATTTTAAGCTATGTTTCAGGCAAGGCTGGTGATGGAACTCGCACTTTGTAAATACTATTGCATTTTTTTTTTCATTAATAAACTAAAAGCTATTTCTACTTTCTGAAATCCAAATAGTATGCCTGAGCTGGAAAAGTCAAAATGCCCACTTCCACTTCAAAGTTAAAATTGACTGTCTGAGCTGGAGTTTCAGGCAAAGTCTGGTAACCCTACTAGCATGTCTAAATACTTCACCATGGAAGGGGCTGCTGACTGTTTCACATTATGATTATTTCCTTGCTTATGGTGTTTGTGGATATGGGACTGATCCTGTTCTCCTACATGAACATCTTTTATGCTGTTTCTTACCTCATCTCTTTGCATCTCAAACAGAATTTATTCCATTCTTTGCCACATCGTCCTAGCTATCCAGTTGTGGTGGGTTAACCTTGGCTGGATGTCAGGTGCCCACCAGGCCCCTCTCTCACTCCCCCCTTCAGCAAAATAAAGGGGGAGAAGAAGATGAAAAACTCGTGGGTCAAGATAAAAGCAGGTTAATTAAACCAAAGGCCAAGGCCACTCACAGGAACAAAAGGCAAACAAAGATGTTATTCTCTGCTTCCCCTCAGTAAGCGATGTCCGGCCACTTCCCGGGAAAGCAGAGCTTCAGTGTGTGCAGCGGCTGCTCCTGGAGACAAACCCAGTAACCAATAGCCCCCTCCTCCTCCTGCCTGCCCTTGGCTGTTCTGGCTGAGCTGAGGTCACATGGTATGGAACAGCCAATCCGGCTCCGCTGTCCCGGCTCCGCCCCCTCCCAAGCTGTGTGACACACCCCCTGCTGGCTGCCAGGGGGACACTCAGCACTGGGAGGGTGCTGTGGGGATACTGACTCCAGCTCTGACAGACCCGATGCACCAGTTTATCTTCTTCCAATTCTCACCTTCTAAAATTATGTGATTAATAAACCAAACTACTTCTGTGACCTTTCACAGAAGAGGTGCCCTGTGTTGAAGATCAATTTATGTAGATCTTAACCCTGAAACATGAAGAGAAATGGCCAGGAGAAATATGAAGGCATTCAAGAAGACAGGAACAAGTGGAAATTCAAGGGTTGTGGTTAGGTTGATAGAAAATGAATCAAATGCCAAGGGAATTCCTGACATGTGCAGTTAACAGGTTTGCATCCTGTTGCTTTTGGGGTTCTCTGCTATCTGAATGAGATAGCTTCGATAAGAAGCCATTTTATTGGTGTAAACTGAATAATCCAAATACTCTCTATACTACATTGTGGTGACAGAGATGAATTTCTAGAAATAACATGCTAAATTGGAAGTCAAAATTTAACCTAAAATGAAATGCAGAAATTTCTGGTGTATGTATGTGTGTGGCATTTCAGTCCCTAGGCAGAAGAAAGCTAAAGATTGCAGCTGAGAGCTGGAATTGCACAAGAAAGAGGAATTACGCTTTCGTTTTGTGGTCTACCTTCCCTTTTGTTTCGCTAAAGCACTAATGTGCTGCAGGAACTGCAGGATCACAGCTGTGTACTTTTGAAATTAAAAAGTTGACATTGATGAATGTCTGACTTATCAGAAAAACAATAAAATTTAAAATTAATGAAAGGAAAAATAAAAAACACTTCATCTGTCTCCTTGAGAATGTACCTGTTTTCCATCTAGGTTTTTTCTTTAAATATCTTTTCTCTCCTGTTATGGAATCATAGAATCACAGAATGGTTTGGGCTGGAAAGTACCTTAGAGATCATCCAGTTCCAACCCCCCTGCCATGGGCAGGGACACCTCGCACTAGCCCAGGTTGCTCAAAGCCTCATCCAGCCTGGCCTTGAACCCCTCCAGGGGTGGGGCATCCACAGCTTCTCTGGGCAACCTGGGCCACTGCCTCACCGCCCTCACAGGAAAGAATTTCTTTCTAATATCTCATCTAAATCTGCCCTCTTCCAATTTAAATCCATTGGAACATCCTCTAAAACCAACTGAAATATGAAGCTTTTCTCCAAAACATAACAGTTTTCCATAATTTTGAAAGAAAACAAGAAGTTACCACGTGGTATTTATAGAGTTTCTGAATAAAAGGTTGTGCATTTTCATTTTTAAATCACCACTGTTTCAAAGATGTAGTGTGTAATGAATATCATAAGAAGATACTATTATTGTCATCTACTGCTGTGCACAACTGAGCTCTTGCTGCTAAAAAAAGCAGGAAAAACTAGCTCTAGGTAAAGCTTTTCTAGAAGAAAAAAAGTCTATCTTCTAGAATCAGGGGTCAAGAAACAGGAATACCTGGCAGTGTTTTGGCTGCAAAGGGAATCTTTCTCTGATTTCCGGAGCGGAAAATAAGAAAAGAGATGGGGAAGCCCTATAAGCTACACACTGAAGAAGGTAAGAGAAAGGGATGCTGCAGCAGCACTTGTTAAAAATAGGAGAATGCTAACAATGAATAAACAGACTTCATCATGATTAATGAGCTAACAGAGAAGAGTGGGGAATGAGGTGGAATTAGAGTTTCAGACATTTGGTGAAATAGCAAAATAGATGTCTGAATCATTGCCTGGTGTAATTTGTTAGTTTTCACTGTTGAACATTTGATTCCTGTGTCGCTGTTTCTAAAAACAACACCAAAAGCTGGTTTTTTCTGTGTGAATCCAGCTGATTGGACAAAGCCTAAAAAAAAACATTTTAAACTTGCTACAATTATTAAAATCTCATATCTGTTTCTACCCGTTCTGAAACTGAATAAATATTTAGTTTCATCAGGAAATACAATTCTTCTAATGAATTTGGCCAGCTCTAGCAGTTAGTTCTAAACTCACTTCTGTAATAGGAGCTATCCCCAAGCACATGCTCACTTATTTCTCAGTAAAGCTATTTCTCAGAGAAATAAATATTGCTAGAAAATAATTCAAATGTTGGAAAAATTAATCTTTCTGAATAACCTGAGAAGAAAAGTAAGTAGGATTATATGGAGGATCAACTCAGAAAAATGCTGTCAAGTTACTGCATATATATCTTCAATCACAATTACCTGGTCTCTTACCAGTCACATTTGTTTATCTCACTGACAAACAGCAAATTTTTAGTGCTAACTGCAACACAGAGCCTATTCCTTTGTGGAAAATGAGCTGTACCTCGTGCTGTTTCATGAATCACAGGTGGAATTGTCAACTAGTTCTGGTCTCAGGAATGTCAGTGATGTTCGGTGGCAATGTGTGAAAAAGATGCCAAATTATTTCTCAGGTAGTAGATGAGGCTCTCTTTGTTTGCAGCTAAAAATGACGTGTTAAGTTGAAAATTGAACAATGTTTTTCCATACCAGGTTTTTTCAAGGATAAAATGTGAAACTTGTATGTAATTCTTATAGTTTGGTTTTTTTTTCCTGCCTGTAACCACAGTTTTTTTCCCTTAATCGCAAAGTAGATAGTGGTTGAGCATAACCATATTTTGAAAAAAAAAAAAAAAAAGAAGAAGTTTGAGCAGGAACTGTGAGAGCAGTACATTATTTTATAACTGAAGGTTGGCAAGCTGACATTCCCAAGCGAGGTCCTGACTGCTAGGTAAATAGTCCTTTCTTCAGGGACTTACAGTAGAGTAGTGCCTAAGCATGTATAAACTGTAGTTTATTTTGCCAGTCTAGACAGGGCTCAAGTAGGCTTTAACTGTATTGCCAAGCTTTATAACAGCTCTGCAAAGCCCAGAGCAGTGATCAGTAACCTAAGTAAAACATTTTTGTTTAAAAACTGACATTTTCACTCTTCAGTTTTAAAAGTATCAGGAAATTGCATGGTTGAAGCTGAACCTTAGAGGAATTTGAGTAGATAATAAATCTGTCTTCATTTTTCCCCAAATAGCATTAATTCTGTAAGTTAAATGGAATGAAAAATGTCTTTGACTCTTACCTGTTATTATAATTAATGCTAAAATAACTTGGAAAGATCTCATCAGGAAGCTCCTTGATCAGTAGCTGTCACACAGATGGCCATTTCTTCTGGGACACTATGCATTAGCAGAGGGATAAAACCCATGCCATAAACCAAGTGTTTTAGAGAGATCCATACTGTGCAAAACTATGCAGAAAAATTGGATCGGTGTCCTGAAAGTCTTCCTAGGCAATATGCTAGCCCTAAGCAATAAACCAGGCTCGTGTAAGCCTGGTGAAAAGGCTGGGTGGGACAATGAGGACTAGAAGAGAGCAATAACAGTCTTGCAGGTCCAGGAAGGTAGGTCCCAGGTAGGGAAGAGGCATGAGGACCTCCAAGGAGGTTCCTATCAGATTTAGTATTGTTGTTGGTATTATAAGGGTGGGTTTTCACTGTTTTGTCTTCTGCTTCTGCCTTTTCCAAGTCAGGAGCGTTCCCATCTAATCTGAGCTCTTATTGCATTGTTTGCAGATGTACACAGTCTAGGAAAGAAAGCTCTAATCAAATGCACTCTTACATGAGAAATTTGCAAAGCATGATAAAATGGCCAGAATAGATGAATGAGAAAAATCGTTGTTATGGTTACCACTGGATTCCAGACAAATAAAAATCACTAACAGACTTGCAGTTTGTATCTTGCCCCAACAGTTGCAGCCATTTAAAAATCAAGGTAAAGAAACCTACACAATGGTTTTGGGTAGAAATTCAATTAGAAAATGTGGTAGGGAAGTCTGTTAATGTGTATTATATGTTAGGGGCCATGTATTTCCAGAGAATCTGGTGTTTGCTTAAAAACTGGATTTCGTTACTTCAGATGTAACTGAGGTGAAATTCTTCTTCATATGATCTTTTTTTTTAAATTATATTTGCTCAAATAAGGGCAAAGGTTATGAAAAATAAAAGAAGTTAACTAAAATTTTAAATTGCTGTCTCAAGTCTCAAAAAATCATTTGCATTTTAGACATGATTCTATCTTGATGTCCCATAAATTATTGGGAGCACTCTTAATTTGGAAAATGAAGTCACTTTAGTTTTCTCTATTGAAATTCCCAATTCAAAACTAATTTATCACAAAATAAGAAAAAAGGGAAAAAGCTTTATTCTGTACAAAACATCTGCATTAACATATTTTAATTTTTTTTGTTGAATATTTTCTTTCTTTTATTATTTTGTTCCAGAGTTTTCCCTTCCTTTTTCCAGACCTTGCTTGTGGCTCACTTGAACTGGTGCTGCAGCTGGGGTGGTCTGTAACAGTTTCATTAATTTTTATACTTTACCTCAGACCCACAGGTTTAATTCACAGTGCGGGGCAAAAAGTTTGAGGAAATGATGTAGGAAATACGAAGAACAATACAATAAAAGCAGTGTATGGTGAGGTGTCAGAGTGGTGCAGGAGTAGGAACAGGTGTATAGTCTCAGGGAGAGCAAGTCGGACAGATGGAGGCTTTCAGGGGTCAGATCGGGATCGCAAGCCTTGCAGACCTATGCTGCTTTGCAGGCATTTCTGTGTCACATGTACCATGAAATTCTGGCTTAATTCATCAAAAAGCCAGATGAGACCATAGGAGAAAAAAAGGGAAGTGGAACAGGTTTTTATTTATGGTTTGTGAACAGGATGTAGTCAAATTTAAGTTTTCAGAAAATGTTTATATTTTGGAATCTCAGTTTTTTACCTAAGGATATGTCCGAATGATTTTGCAGGTAAACGGAAGCTCACTCTGTCTTTACTGTGAACTAGCCAGAGGTGTGCTAACCCCGGTCTAAATGCCATGAAGGTGTGATTATTACAGGACTGTGCTCAAGCTAATAAGTAACCTCAGTGTCATGCTAACCCTAGCCACATGCACCAAAATTGCCTGGGTGGCTCTCACCAAGGGTGAAATGTCCTGGAGTCTTCTTGCAAAAGACTGTGCATTTGTACTCTTAATCAGGATGTTGGTTTTTCCTTTTTAAAACTTTTATTCTAGTATCTCATCCAACAAATATTATAGAAAAAAAAAATTTAAAGGTTAAATATATATAAATATACAAAGTATTGCCTTGTTTTGAATTGAAAATGGCATTTCATGAAATATTTTTATATTATTCCCTGACAATGTTAGTCTCTAGTAGTCTCTAGTAGGTTTTAAAGGTATTATCTCAACTATTATCTTCCTTATTTTTATTATAATCATATTACTGTTTTATAAAAGGATGACCAAATTTTGTTAGTTCATATTAACCTGCAATGAAGATGCAAATTTTGTACTCATTCCTGGATTTTCTCGAAACTGAAGATGTGAGAGTAGAGCTTTCACAATCATGATTCAGCAAGGTTCACGTGCTGGGTAGTTTCTATCACAAGAGTTTATTTTCCAGGTTTTTTTTCAGTTCAAATAATAAAGCTCTTAACCGAAAGAGTAACCACAACTGCAAAATTCTTGCCTCATGTTTTGAAGAAAAGCTCTGCATTTCATATGATTTTACACCAGAGGCAGATTTTTTTCCTTGTGCATACTTAAAATCTTGTTCAAGGTTTTTGGAGGAAATAGATCAAACACCCAATTCTCCCTGAATTTGAAAACTGAAGAAATTTTTGAGGGCTAAAGGCTTTCGTTGTAGGCATTTCATGTGGCTCTGTTGATGTTACAGTTCAGGTCATCACAGTTCTTCTACAAAGATGAAATGTGTGTCGTGTTGAATTAAACCTGGAATATACTTTGAGTCGTGCTGTGGCATGTTTAGTCCTTCCAACTTTGGTTCTTTATAGCAAATATTCACTGTTTCATCTTTAGTATTTTAACCCCTTCTGACTAAAATATAAAAAAGTAAAAGAAAGCTTGAAAATATGCTGCATTGTTGTTCATTGTCATTCATTCCTGGTAGTAGAGTTGTTGAGGAAAACAGAAAAATCACTATATTCAGCTAGAATGAGCCCCTCTTTATTTGTGCAGATCTCTTATGTAGGGGTTAGAAAACACCTAACTCGATCCAAAACTCAACCTGAACTTATATGGAAAACTCTCCTGGGTGAGAAACAGTTGAGGGGGGGGAGGGGGAAAGCAAAAATAAACAGAACTGATTTTTATGCAATTTCTTTTATATATTTGTCTTTAGTTTTGCTTCCACTAAAATTAGTCATAAAACTTTGTTTTTCTTATTTTTATTGGGACTAGAATGTCTATACATATACATTGATGGGTCAAAGAACAAAAATTGGAGTGCAAATACACTAAGGGGTAAACTATTGCTTGTACTGCATCTGCTTAGCATTGCCGAGTTAGATTCTTCAGTGAAGGGCTTAAATGATGCAGGAACAATTTAGGATTCGTAATTTTTAGAGAAAAGCGGTCTTTGGAAAACTGTCTTAATTCTGGTAGTTGTGTATGTATTTTGCATAGTTAGTGCACAAATCCCTTAGAGGAACAAAATGTTATCATAATGGGCTACTTCTGAGTTTTCACTCCATTGTCCTTTTTTCCAACAGGGTGGAGTGAATGGTTTGACTGGAGAACTGGAATTTGCAGAAAATGGAGGGAATCCCAATGTGCATTTTGAAATTCTGGGGACAAATTATGGAGAAGATCTTGGCAGAGGCATCCACAAGGTGAGTCTACATATATTTTAAAAAAAGACTATTTTTACTGATTTTTTTTTTAAAACCATTCTTGCGTTCCATGTTAATAGAAAAGTGTTTGATGGTGGATAGCATGTTGTGTATTGTTAAGAGAAGTAAGAAATGGGAGAAAAGCCTTGAACTAGATACCCATCTATTTTATTATTGCCAAGAGGCCTTGCAGTAGGTTGTGTTGATCCAAGGTGTTTGTAATAGAGAAAGGATAAAGCTGCTAGTCTACTGTCCCAAAAGACTGGTGAGAGCTATTGTTTTGTAACCCTTGCAATCCATTTCCAAAATAGTAAATTTTATGCTGAATTATGTGTAGGGCATGTGTTTGATGCTTCTGGTCAAAGTGGGATGCCACAACCGTTAGATGATTAAAATTCATAGGTACAGAACAAGAAAATCTGTTGTAACATAGACAGACTTTCCATAATCTCTTGTCTTCTTAAAAGTACATGATGTTTTAGTAGAAATTAACTTTTACAGAATTAGTAATGTTACGTATTCAGCTGCCAAACACAGTCCAAATACTTGGACTTAAATTGTTTGAGGAAATGGCGTACATCTCCAGAAAAAAAAAAAAAAAAAAAAAAAAAAAACAAAAAAAACAAAACCAGAACTTTTTCTTGGTATTCCAGTTTTCCTAGTCTGTAAAAACAAATTTAAGACCTATGGAAGGAATGGTGGATGCAGGTCTCTATCTGCAGTGCATATCCTTAACTTTGGTCAACTGTCCATCTGGGGTGGCAAACATAGCAAAATCATATGGTACCTCTTAGGAAAATAAAAGACTACTAGGCTTTTCCAGGAGCAACGCTCCTTCAAAGACAGACCTCCTGAAAGATCATACCAAGACCTCTTAATTGAGTGTATCAGATCACACTGGGTTTTGTATGTGAGGAACCTTAAGTGTTTGTCTGAAAGCAAATGACCGAGAAAGTTGTATTAATACATGTAAACTGGTTCCGTGTGTCCATGTCACTATGCAATGAAGTCCATCATTTGTCTGCATACAGAGAAGTGCAGTAACAGATAAGTGCTCTGAAAGAAGGGAGAAAGAAATGAGAAATTTGAAGTGTCTCTAAACTCCTGAAATTTCTCCTCCACTATTCATTGGAATTGTTATTCCGTTCCTGCTGTTTCATCTGTTGTCAATACCTTAATGTACGCACATGCCTATGGCTGTCGCCTTGAGCAGAGATCCTGACAGATGCTTTGGAAAATAAATGGAACTGGATCTTGTTGGTATTTGGAGGCATGCTTTGCAAAGTCTTTAGACAACGAGCATGTTGGATGTTTCCTTTTCCCCTCACCTATAAATTCAGTCTGTTTCAACATATTTTGTCTTGATTTATTTTCCATGCTGTGCATTGAGGAGCTTTTTATTCTTCAGAGCAACCAGGTAGTCCTTAAGACGAATCTGTATATCTTCATTTAATTTAATTGATTGACTTTGGCTGGTTTTTGACTCCAGGCCTGTCTGGGTAAATGCCTGAGTGAAGCATTAGATTGTGTTATTTCATTTCACTAAAAGATAGAAGAGGGAGAGACCCACAGAAAGGTCTTGGAAATACAGAAATACAGCAAGACTTCCTAGCCTTTTGAACTCTTTTCTGATGGTACAATTTAGATTTAGAGTGCAAATTTAAACTATGGCACAGTTTACTTTTAAATAAGAGATTAACAACCATAGGCACACAGGAGTTGTGCAAAACAATGAGATAGTACAAACACACTTTTTGAACCTTCCTTGTTTACCCTTTAACGTAGTTCAAGGACAAAGAGACATTCACTGTCTTTGAAAGGAAATAGATTTGAAGTTGGCCAAAGAGAACAGAGTTTTGTACAGAATATAATTGGACCGTGAAACGCAGTGTCACAAGTTAAAAAGTAAGATCCCAAAAGTATGTATTTTTTTGTGTTTGCTGAGATGAGCATTTAAAATTAAGTATAGAGATTATAAGAAAAATTTCCTGTTGAAGGTTGCACTATAAACGTCTATCCTTAGAATTTTGTGTGTGGGGCAACTGGTTAAAAAGAAGAAAGTGTCCAGATTTAATCTGTTCCAATTTTTTATTTTTTTTAAAGGGCATTCAGTGATCCTGAGAACGCTTTCGAAAGAGTCCTGGTGTAGAGAAAGGAATTTTTGTTAGAATAAAATTGCTGTATATATTGTGAGAATGTAATAATTGTTCCTGGAAGCCTCTTTCAATAAAAAATTCAAAATAATTCCAAATAATGTTGTATTTTTTTTACACTAAATTAAATAGTAAAAGGATCTAAAATAAATATGGTATTTATAATCAATGTCACAAAGATTAAAAACAAAAAAACCCACAATCTGGGGATCCTAAAACATTCACATCAGAGATAGAAAAGAAAATAAAATTCTAAAAGAAAAATGCCATATGCTGGCTTTACTCTTTTGACAAAAGTTCACGTATTTTATCTTTGATTACATTTTACTTAACAGTGTGCAAGCCACTAGTGTTGGAAGCAAATCATAATAATTACAGGAGTCAGATATATTTTTTGTTAACTACACTAATTAAAGTGCACTTCAGATTTTCATGTATTTAGTGGTCTGACTGCAGAACTACCTAACCATTTTTATTTCTCAACTCTAGTGGAAACAGCTGCAACTGGCTGACTGACTGAAAATTCTAAACAAATGCATCTTCCCTAATTAACGTGTTTCCAAGTACTTTTATAGGCAATAACGAAGGGTGAAATAATGAGAAAAGCCCTATTGAAATCATGGGGACCAGAAGTTCACACCAAGTCAAGTGTGTAAAGAATTTTTTTTTTTTTCCTGAGGAACAATCAATTGATTTTAATTAAAGCAAGTAAAATTTTAAAATGCATTTGAATTTCTCAAGAGTCCAAATTGTGCTTGCAGTCAGTTCTGTTTGGGTTGCAGAGTCATTTGGTTACTTCTGAAAAGTTCACTTATATTCACAGCTCAAAGATGCAAACAGTTTAGGAAACATCAAGAATTCATGTTTGTGTTTGTTGTTTTTATCGGCAAAGTTCAGCCATGTATCTAGCAGAAACTGCCTGCAAGTTCCCTCCTTCCACTTTTGCGGGCTACTGTCATACCTGGAAAGCAGTGGGAGCATTTGTGTGGAAGTTAAATTGTGTTGGGGTCCTTCATCTGGTGACAAGTTAGCAACTTCGGGAGCGGGACTGGCTGGAAACACAAATTTTATACTGTTATGTCTGTAAACGCCGCCCATCACCTTGCAGACCACGGATCACTTAGGTTGTACGTGTTGCCAGAGTTGGGTACTTGAAGTAACACGGATTGCTCCCAGATACTGATTTCATTGACACCCGTGGCGTTACCATCCCGAATGAACTGCAGACAAACTTGCTTTTACATGTCATGCTGTGGCTTGCGTTTGTGCAGATAAAGTTTCATTCCATGAGAGACACGGGTGTATTTCTGACATTTCTCTGTTGGCATTTGTGTGTTGGTCTTTGACATTTGAGTAAGTATTCTTTGACATTTAAATTTCAGTGCAATACTTCTGAAGTAAAAGCTGCCCTTCTTTTGAATAACCATCCAACAAACAAACAAACAAAAGGCAGTTGACAGCTCAGAGGAGTTCTGCCTTAGAGCTCAGTGCTGTAGAGAACAGCACTGCAGAAATGAAGTGGGTTTCATGTTTCTTCCAGTGCTCCAGGTAATTCAGAGTGGGCTCATCCTCAAAGGCTCTGTGCTACACCTTTTGAAGTATAGAGGACTTTCTTCCTGTCTCCACACTGGTTTTCTTACCGCGTGTGGACGTTTGGAGATGGTGGTGCATTTTGCTCTGCCTCCATATCCCTAGTAGTGCCCACCTGCCTCCTGTGCATCCCTCTTCTCTTCTGAAGATGATTTCTGTCATTTCCTCCCACTGGGGGAAGGAGATGACATGCCAAACTCTCGCATCTCTTCCTCTCTGCACCAGGATGTCCATGTCAAGGCTTTCTTAGCATTCAGGACACCCAGGATAGAGCCATTTGTTATCTGGCATATAATTTTTTCTTATATTTGCTTCACGAAGCACATATATTCCAAGTGTATATTTTGATCCTGGCGAAGTTGCTGTCTTTTCTTACAAAGATAAACTAATTTTTTCCATCTTTTATCTCTTATTCCTTTTTGGATCATTAGGTAAAATGAGAAGTTATAGAGCTCTGCTGTCACTTATTAACTAATACTATTTATTAACCAAGAGCTGACAAAATATTTTCTTCTTGGTTAGCTGCTTCGTTAGCTACTTGAGGTAAATGATGGGTTCACCTGTTCCCTTTGTGATAGTGATCAAAGGTAGGGAGCTCTGTCACGAGATTTTAAAAATGTATATATCTCAGCACCTGGTACTTTAAGCTGTGATCTGTTTCAGCTCTTTCTGAAGGCTGACATGCAATTTATGATGTGACTGAAAGATACACTTGCAATTTACGGAGGCATTATTGATGGTCTATCTTCTAGAGAGTTGACAAGAAATGTTGCTGTGTCTGACTGCTTTGCCTCTAGTGTTGATGGACAAGATGGGCCTGGCACAGTACTAACGTGATACTCTTTCTAAAGCAACTTCAAATAAATAAGCAGCCTGTTAGAAATGAAATAAACTTCTTAGTACTAAAAGTAAAAGTTAATTAAATACCCTGGTGAACTGGGACCTGCTGTTCCAGTTCAGCACAATACTTAAATCTGCTGTAAACCCACTGAAGAGTACCATTTGCTTCCTTTATTTAGTGCTATGCAATAGGTGAAGATACGATGACTTATTCCTTACTTTCTGCTCTTCTACAGTTTCTTGGTGAAATTCAATTTGGCTGGAAAGTGTTGGGAATTTGCACGTTATCACAATGAAACTAGTGTTAGTAGAGAACTGTGATTTACTTGAAAGTGCACTTCTGTTTAATTGAAAACTCAAACAAAATATTGAGTCTAATGGAAAATGAAAAAAAATTGCCTTACCCATAATGTATTT